AAACAACAGTTTGCATTGTTGTCTTGTCCTTCCCTAGATGATATTTTTATATTTCTAAGAATAGAAGGAGTTGTGGTGAAAACCCTTTTTAGTAAAGCTAAAATCTCTTCTCTATTAACTGTACTTAAACCTACAAAATGTAACTCCAGCCACCATCTGTCAATCAAAACAATAGCAAAAGACCCAATTGATGACATCATAAAGCAGTGGGGGATCATGGGAGTTGTTGTAAATCTACCAGACCTGCAGGAAAAGCTCCTGTCTTGCTTTGACAGGGTTTGTCATTGATACCTCAATCTCCTGCACTTGCTCTTCATTGGTGATGTACATCTGCTGCAATGAGTCCTCCAGCTCCTTGTTCCTCTCCAGTAGAGTCTTTCCCAGCTCTGCTGCCAAGTGGAGGTCTGGAAATAAGAGAGAAATAGAAATAGAGATTTACAAACCGGTCACAAGCAGGGGCAGATCCAGGGGTGGGGGCCAGGGTGCGTTGGCCCCAGCGGAAATCTTCTAAACTTTTTTAAAAGTACAATATATGCATGGACAAGGAACAATTTTCAAAACATATTGAATGAAGTGTGGCTTTGCTCAAAGCTATAGAGCCAACAGTAAACAAGAAATGACTGGCACCTTACTGAATCAGGAATTGAGAATGGATGTTGGACTTATAATTGGCCCCCTTGTCCCTTGATGGCCCTTGATTTAAAAAAATTTCCTGGTCACAGGTGAGAAAGAAAGTTGCAGATGTTGAAGATGGATACAAAGTGTAATAGCAGAGGATTGGGGGAAGGAAGCCAGGGAGAGGTGGGTGAAGGAGGGACAGATGAAGACAAAACGCGGCAATATGAATATGTAGCATCTTTCCTTATCACAAATGTGAAAAAGGAAATGACATGAAAAGAGGGAGAGGCTAATCTCACAGACGGCAGCTGCAGAATTTAGACGACCTGCTGTCAGGATTAATAGAGCAGATTGTTCTATTCTAGGCCAAGTTATAACTGGGTCTGGAACAGAATTATTAAAGGGTCTGTCTCAGTCTGCACTGGACTGCTTCAATAATAGAGCTGAGGGAGCAGGGAGACAGACAGTGATCCTTCCTGCAGATCATAGAATATGAAGGTCAGAGTCTGGTGCCAGGATGACACTTCAACTTCCTGTGGCAAAAAAAGGACAAGCTGTACTTTGCAAAATGCAGTCTTTCCTACTTTTATGTTTTTTATATTTATACTTGCACAAATACACCACAGCAAATCCCTTGTGTATGTGTAAACCTGCTTGGCAAGAAAATCCTTTGATTTTGATTCTGAGAGACACTCCTCTGAGATTAGTGCAGAATAGACTGAGATTCCACATACATCCACTGTATGGATTTCTGTCACGTCATGTTGGACACCATCCTTTTATTGCTCCACAATTTTTTTGCAGACAAATCCCCATCTGAAATAAAGCCATGTCGCTGTCGTCTGTCTTTATTCTAACTGTGCTCTGACTCGGCAGTATTGATGGCCTTCATTGTTGGGTGTGACAAAGCGAAATTTTGTGACCTCGCAAAAACAAAACGAGCGATGAGAGCGAGCAGCGGATGAAGTCATCCTCTCGTACAGCCCCGGCTCTGTCTTTAAAGATTAATGGTGATCACTCGGACGGACGCCAGGTCTACAGCCTCTTCCAGCAACTCCTGACCTGCATCACTGCAACATTTCCCTCTCACTGCAGTCTGAAGCTCCTCTGAGCTGCGCAGGCTGTTTGAGCTTGTGATTTTCTTTCAGATAAATTGGCTGTCCTTCACCTGACTAGCACCAAGTGACAAAGAGACAAAGTCACAGACATGCTGGTGAACCTAGCGGAGCATTTAGCCACTAACGCACCAGACTTTGAACATTAAAGCTGTAAATTAGAGCTGTCCGATAATATAAGTGATTTTCATGTAGAGAAAAAACAAAGTCTATTAATGTGCTGACCGGGGCTCTGATTGTGTCGTTCCACTCACTGAACTGAAACACAGCTATGGAAATTACCCATCATCCCTGGCTTCCTGAACCAGCAGAGCTGCTGCTGTATACCAAACTTTTAATTATTTTAAAAGTTTCCTCACTGGATATTGGAGATAAACACTGGTTTTTAATGACTACTGAGACTTTTTAAGTGATCTACAGTTCAGCTTCACTCTCGCACTTGCTGGCCCTGATTCTGACGATGTAAGCTGCGAGAAAATGACATAGAGCAAGAACAGACGTTTAGGGTGAGGAGTGGGAATGAAAGTGGCACCATTCTCCTTATTCAGTCAGTCAGTGAACCATCAAACTCCTGTTGAAGATGCTGTTTTAATGGAAAAAGAAAGAAAAGTGGAAAACGTGAACATCATCCAAAAAGTTATACTTGACTCTACTGATTTTTTCAGTTAACCCAGACTGATCAATCAATTTTAAATCAACAATTATAGCTTATAATAAATGTGTTGGCTGATGAGTAGGCTGCTAAGGAATTGGGGTCCAGAAATAAGAGTTACAAAAGCATCAATTAAGAAATATTAATATTAAAAAGTGAGTATAGACCAATATAGCGTATTGAGATTCAGAGCCATGTAGAGACCTTTAGAGGGGCATGTGCTCAAAGTTATTATGGGGCAAGAGAGTTTGGCTGCAGACAATTTTCTTTCTTAGAAATTACATCAGAAAAATGTAAACATAAATTAACACCTATTATTTATTCTGTAACATCTAAGTTTTCATATCAGCCCATTCAATTGTTATCAGCTAAGCTAATATTGCAGTTGCATCAAAAGTATCAGCCCGACTCTTTTTCCATCAGTCTCTGTTTTGAAACTCTGAATCCTCTTCTACCTTCCTATCCTCACCCCCCCTCAATTTGACTAATGAGCAGCAGGTTCAACAGCTCCATATGGACTAACTCACACACTTCCCTCTGCAGTGATGGTATAATGAATTCCTGCGGGGCCCCGACATCAGCAGCTCAGGTACCACTGAATGGATCCTGACTCGTCGCTGGAGCGAGTCCAAACAGCCTTCATTCTGTTAGGACAAGTTCAATAGACAGGCTCTGGGGGAATAGTGCACAGCTCAAAGTGTGGAATTAACATCCCTCATCTAGAGTATATTTGTCATGAGATGAACTCTTTCACACAGCATGTGTCTGTCACTGTAGCTGGAAACATTAGATTGTTTTGGAGCGTTTAATGCCAGAGGCAGTGAGAGATAAGTAATTTAAATTAGTTGTTGAAAACACATTAATTCCTATTTAATTTTACCAACAAACAATACATTTAAATATCTTATTTTCAGAGATTTTGTTCATGCAGCTGACCTAAGCAGTCCCTTTGTAAATGAACTAAAAATTAATACCTCCGCCAAAGAGGATATGTTTTCATCCCTATCCACTGGTTTGTAAGCGAGATTACACAAAAATAACCAAACAGCATTCCTTGAAATTTAATAGAAGGATGTGGTGTGGGTCAGCGAAGAATGCAGTCAATTTTGGTTAGGATTTTTCTTTTGTTAATTTCTCTTTTTTCTCAGGGAAGAATCAATGGATTTTGCTGAAGAACAGTCAGGCATGTTTGGAGATGGGTATATATGACTGTGTACATTCAGATTCAGATCAAGGGGAGGACCCAGAAATAGTTTTTCACTTTCTTTAACATTGCAAGACATTTTCACCACTTTCCTCGGGTAGAATCAACGGATATTGATGAACAATTAGCACAATTACACACTAATATGTATAAGTGTATGCTGGTGGGTGCAGCTTAATTGAATTTTGTGCACTCTACTGAGTATACCATTCTAGTTGCGACAAGCTCTTCAAATCCTATCTGGCATTGGGCTGGTCTGAAACCGCCAAGAAAACCAGGGCAGTTAATGTCCACATTCAGATGTGGATTTCTCTTTAGCTTCCAGAGTGAACGCTGCACAGTCAAGAGCATCAGTGAGAAGAGAATAACAGAAGGAAGGGGGGAGGAGCGAGGAGGAGAAGGATGAAAACAGACTGAGAGTGGGAGAGGGGGGGAGGGCCAATCGATACAGCTCACTGCACAAGCAAACTACTTAGCAACGCAATACTCGCCACTCACACTAACATCTATCTGTCTGCTCCATAGCGACCGGTCTATGCAGAGAAATTAAACTCAAAATGTTTATTATTGCATGTGGACAAATCAAACGTCATTTCATTTTTCTACATATTTACAGATTGTTAAATATGTGTGCACAGATCACCTGATGAGAAATCTTTGTTACTGGCTATAGAATCCTTTTATGTAATTGAAGTGGGTTTATGTGAATGGGTGACGTACAGAGTGGAAGCATATACAGTCTGTTTCTTTCCCAATTAAATAAATATTAATAAAAGGGATTGACAATTTATATATATATATGGAACTAACTGAACATTTGTAGTTTACAGACCTGTATTTGAATACGACATGGAGTAAATTGATAATCTGGAAGTATTGCTCTCCATATCCTGATCAGTGCACAATATGAACTACTCATTGAACAGTGTGGACTATCTGTAATTACTGATCAATATGTCTGGAGACTCCTGGCCTGTATTACTGACTGCTACGAGCCATTTTCTCTGTAATGCTGTTTTATTCCCTCTAGGATTTATGTATTAATTGGTAAAAGCCACCATTTTGTGCATTTGGAGCCAGCTGCTTGTTTTAGATACCTTAAAATGAGAGAAGCAATCTTTCAGAATAATGTATTTTGTCCATCATCTGCTAACATGGAAGGTTTGTGACCTTTACTGCAGCCAGCCAACATGAGGCAAACTAGAGGCTTTAGCTTCACTTTTACAAAGCAATCATGTCTTCTATCTTTATATACAATCCACAATGGTTTGTTCTTTTTTCAGTTAGTCAGGTAGTTAGTTATTTGGTTACTTTGTTAGTTTCTAATTTTGTAGCTCTGGTTGACAATAATGGCAATGTGTGAAAATGATATGGTGGCTGAATAGATAGACAAAAAGATTTAAATGTAAACAAAGGCCAGATGTCCCAGTTCTCCACCAGCACTTAAACACAACATGCATTTCCTGTGCAGCTGGAGTCATGAAAATGATCAGGGACCTTGTTGATAGAATATGAATATCCTATTTACATTGTATACATTTGTAAATTTGTTTTACGTGTGATCAAATCACTTGGTATTAGTGTGTGAATTAGAACCAAACCATTTGTGAGAACCCAAAATGTACTTTTCATTTGTAGATAACATATGTGACCATTTTGAGTTTCATTTCTCCCCACAGACATGAGGCTTGACCCACACAATGTGAAAGAAGTGAGGCCAGAACGCAGACGTAAACACATCATGGATGAAGAATACATTTCCTGCATGACCAGAAAACCAGCTGCAACCAGCTGGGTGAGTGTTTGCACACGAAGAAAGCTGCACACAGTGAAAACAAAGCAGGGTTAACTTTTAAACACCATTTACTTAAATTTTCTAAGAAGGGCAAATGTGCATATGCATATTCTTTATTATACTGTACACGGTGATGTCTTCTGCAGACAGAGCTGTTTTGGAAGGTGCATATCACCCTTGAGATTCATTGGAATGTAGAAAACAAGGCGTCTTCTCTTCCCCTTTTCCTGTGTTGCAGACCAGACTTCCAAATAGAAACGCTTTGAGAGATTCAGTGGCCAGAAATGAATTATTTACTGCAATGAGGGCGGTCCTGTTTTATAAACTGCCCTAATGCACGGTATGATTTGGTCCAATGCAGAAATATTTTTATGGTCCATGCTGAGGCCTTTGCTCTTGAAAACTCTGTCCTTGGGTGTCATGAGAACTTGTTAAGCTGCAACAGGAACAGTGGAGGAAGCCTCTTGTCGGACACAAGTGGAGCCAACAAGCCTCCAGTGTGAGCTGGTAGAGCCACATACTGCATTTTTTTCTTTCATCAGCCAGCGGAAGCTCCAGCTAACACACAGTAGGCCAAAAAAGAAAGCATCCTAATTACATGTCTGCACCCCTCTTGTTTTCAGCATTTGAAATGTGAGCTGCTGAATATAACTATTCATGCATGGATAAATAAAGTTGTATTTAATTGACTTATTGTATGATTGAGGTAACGCAATCAAATATTCCACAATTCCAAACTTTCTAATCAACTTGTTATAAAATTCTTCTGAAGGTCCGAAAAGTATCACGATAGGCTGGACTAAGTAATAACTAGCATGACTCACTCAAAAAAAATTATACATTCAATGAAACACTGACACAGTGGCAGTATTTCAGTCCTAGTATTATTGCATCTCAGTGTTACATTCCACTACAACATGTTACTGGGCAAACTGGAAAACTGGAGATTGTGGCACAGCACTTAACTGGTTTGAATCCTACTTGAAGGACGGGAATTTTTACTGTGACTGTAACAACATTTCTTATGTTTCAGCAGGATTTAGAAAAACCTGTCTATACAAATTGACTACTGTAAGAGCATTTCCAGGTCTCTCTAAATAAATCGAGCAGCAGCTGAACCAAGAAAGTTCTCAGATCTTTACACTGGCTTCCTGTCTTTCAAAAACTGATTTCAAAATACTGCAGCTGGTTTATAGAGCACCGAATGGTTTAGGGCAAAAACTCTTCAGGAACTATTCAGACTTCTCCAATCATGGCGAAGCGGCAATCAGTATTCATGCGCCACATATTTGGAACTGCCTCTTATCTTGTTGTTCAATCACATAATTACTAATACTCACTGCACTGTAACTTTTGCTCTTTTATTTCTTACTTTTTATTTGTATTTACATCTTGTTTTTCAAGAAATTTAAATTTTTTCAACAGAATTTTTGTCTTAATTTGCTAGATGTCCTTCACAAAGCACTTGAATCCCATTGTTGATGAAGTGCTTGTTGTTGAAATGCTGATTCCTGCATGACGACAAGCTACAATAAGGTGTCATCTCTCTCTGAAGGGCATGTGGCGCCCTGAAATGTCACACCACTGAAGATGAGCTCAGGTCGGTTAGCAATCTGAGGCTCCGAGAGGTCCGACATCCTCTCTGCTCCATCAAACGCACAGCTCTGGATGTGAAGACACTGCTCATTTCTACACCAGCCATTTTGACTTTGATTTTCAGTCCTGCTCACCTCTCTTTTTTACTATCACCCAAAATAAAGATGACTACAGAAGATCTATTTTTATCCCTAGGTGCACTGGCGTGGGTAGACAGGGAGGAAGATGTCTAACAAATCCATGGCATCATGACTGTAGACATGTTTGTGTGTGTACCAGAAGAGTTACTTGGCAGGAGCAAGTGATTGGGGGATGAAGAGATGGGAAATTAAGTAAATGATGCGGAGCGACGAGGACTGAAATGAGTCCTTGGGTGTCTTTGAACACTGATGAGTCATTTGTAGACGTTGTAAAACTGCTGTCAATGCGTTCCTGAGATCGATCATGCATTTACGACAAAATCATATTAACTGACTATTAAAGAAGGATTTAAGACTGCAAGTCATGCACAGCTTAATATTGCATGTGGTTATTTAAATTTCCATATTGTATCTGGTGGTAAACTGGCCAATGATTATATTTGGACATTTTAGTCCATGTGACCTCATCCAAATTATATTTTCCTATGTGACTTTTAGTTTCCTTTAACATTTATATGGAAATCGGTCCATCTGGTTTTAGAGAAATGGGATGAAATAAATCTGGAAAAGGTTTTAAGGATTGTCTTTTCCAAAATAAATATTAGGACTGTGAATAACAAAGTTGAATGTGGACAGTCACTTGTACAGTTACTGCAGATTCACATACAATATAATGCAACCACACAGAGGGAGGAGCCTTCATGGAAATATACAGGTTCATTAACTGAATCTGAATAAGATTAATTAGATGAAGGATCGTTGAAGGATCAGGCGATTAATCAACTGATCCTCTGACAGAAAAGGATTTTGATGGTTGGTTAATAATTTTCTAAGCAAAAAACTGTGTTGGCTCCAGCTTCCCAAGTGTGTTCATATAGATTATATATTGGGGCTGGGCAATAAAACAATATTGTTATTATTGCAATATAATTTTCATCAATAGCATAAGGTTCAATATAAATTGATATATTGCTTATGCATTGTGTAAGCACAATGAGCAGACAAATAATTAATACATCTGATTTGTAAAATGTTGTGCTGTTTATCTTTGGTTAGGTAGAAAAATGTCAGTCTTTCATCTCAAAAGAAATAATAATGACATTTATCATGATAATTATCGGGTGAAAAACATTTTTGTCATGATAACATTTTTGACCAAACGAATGAATTCAATCATCCATCCATCGCATATAGATTATTCAATACTGATCATACTTTTTTGGTGCATTTGCTTGATGTCAAAATTAAGGTAATTGCCCTTGAAATAATCAATACACTCTGATGACGTGCACACGCTAGGTCTGTGTATAATGAAATTGTAGGGGCTCACACTGTAACACAGGGGACCTCAGGTTTTACAACAACCCAAAGACACATCTTCAACAGTGCAATAAAGCAGAGCGAACTTGATGACGTTTTAATCAACTAAACGATTCATTAACTAATAGCATCGCAGCAAACTAAAAAGATCTAGATCTCCCTTTTTAAAAAGCAGGATCCAAAAGCTGCAGTCGTGGTCGCAGCCTGATAACACGAGGATGTGATGCTGACTCTTTGCAACGCTAGGCCCAGCTTGGCGTGCTGTCAATGCATTGTTGTCAAACAAGCACCGCCTGCACGGAGGAAACCACATCAATGTCGAAGTGATCGCAGTTGAACCGAGGAGACACTCGCACTGGACGTGTCTCTCTCCTCTCCCCCCCGGGACAGAGGGCCTTTGTTGGGTGCAGGGGCCAGCTGACTGACCGGCCGGCCGGCGCCTGCAGCTGACACCGTGTGGATGCTGCGGCTCAACATGCAGCGGGGAGGATGTTGTGTCTGGTCTTACCCTGCTCCAGGTCCTGCTGGTCGTACCATGGCTCTTCCTCTTCGGTCACAAATTCCTCCATCCTCCACACGCTTAGCATGGGTGACCCCCTTCGTCCAGAACCAGAGGGGTGGGAGGAACCCGGAGAATCGAGCCTGTGCGCGTCCGAACAATGGAGCTCTCCGGCGGTCAGGCTCCTCCAGGAGGCAGCGGACGCTCCTTGAGTCTGGAGCTGCACGCAGACTGTTTTTTTGTTGGTGTGTCGTGTCTCTACGTGTTTCCTCTTTCCTCCCTCCTCTCCTCCGTGTTTCCTCGGTCACTCCCACCCGTCATCCCCCCATCTCCGCCCGGCACCGGCCCATCCCGGCGCTCAGAGCCGCAGCAGAGGATCCTCGGACGTGGCAGCGATGTTGCAACAACCACAGCTCGTCCCTGTTATCAGCTGCGCGCCCATGATGCCTTCAAGTGCTGCTCGTAAGCGTCACGTTGCACCTCAGTTTTCACCCCACATCCAGTACAAAAACATGTGTTTAATTGGATCTTTAACTGAGGTTTCTATGTTCTTTTCCCCTGTTCAAATGTTTCTTTGGTAGTTGTTCCTTTGTCTTGTTGAGGGTGAAGGGCAGAGGATGTCACACCTTGTTAAAGCCCTATGAGACAAATCGTGATTTGTGAATATGGACTATACAAATAAAATGTAATTGATTGATTGATTGATCTCTGCTGCATTCGACCTCAACAACTGGAACCTCCTGCCACAGCAATTACCTGGTTTGAATCCCACATGAATTATCTCTTGTTTTTGTCCACATCTGAGTGGACAAAAATGAGGAGTTCCCCATGGGTCCATTCTGGGGCCTCTTCTGTTCAACATCTCCGCACTAGCTCAGTTTAAAGAAAACAACAAAATGTGTTATGCAGATGACACACACATTTACCGAAATTTTACTAGTCTCTCATTGTTGCCTCTGTCACTCCCGTCACTCTCCCTGGGGATTCTGCAACCACAGCTCTCTCTCTCCCTGTTCTGAGCATCATGCTAATAAAACGTAGCAGAGCTGCTCGTGAGCATCATTGTTAACCTTACGTTTTCACTCGTCTCAGTGGCAGAGCTGCTAGGATTTTTTTTCCAAATCTGCGCCATGAAGGAGCTACAAATTACAAAGGGGCCAATTATATGTCCACCCGTGCAGAATTCCTGATTCAGTAAGGAGCACATTTAAGTCAGTGCTTGTTTAATCTTAGCTCTAATGTTTTGAGCAAAGCCTAACTTCATTGAACATATTTTGAAAATGTATTATTCAAGCAAATTTTTTACACAATACTTGAAATGAAAATTCCTACAAATTGTCTTATTTATTGTTAGTGTTGTTAGTAAGTGGCATTTTTGACAAGACAGGTGCACTTTAGGAACCAATCAAATTGAATCCTCTGACGAGTTACAAAGAAGAATGAAAACTGAAATTTTCAAACAGCATCGAAACATTGCAACAGCTCTTAGGCTACATTAGATTTGGATGATGGTGGACCACAAATGCCTGCAACATTTATACGTAATTGCATAGAGGCTAATCTATCTGAGCAAATGTTTAATCCCTGGGAGATTTTAGTGTATCTCAATGCCCTGTCGTTCAGCTCAGTTAATGTAGCACACTGATAAAGCCGCCCAGACTGTGTAGTGGAAAGACAGCTCAAACACTGACTCCCAACTTGGCAACATCCTGTCAAACCAAGTTGGTGCCTGGAGTTGATATATCAAGTTCCTGCCAACTCATGCACTCAACCGATAACCAGTCAGTCTCAATTTAAAGGGGTTTTCATGAAATTGTCATTACTGTGGACTAAAGTAAATGTTCTTGCAGCCCCTCTTTCAGCTGTAGTAGCACACCTGCATCATGGGAAGGAATCCAGTGAGTGTTCCCCACACTCTGCTACAAGCAGTGTTATATAGTATTCACACCACTAGATGGCAAGCTGGGGTTTTATATTTGCACATGCCTGCATGTTCCATTAGAATGTTCAATTCCCTCAATTCTGAATTGCTGTGTCACAAACACTGCAGCAACTCCTATCATCATTACATACGACTCAGAACATAATTATTAAGGTGATAAAGTGGATAGAACATTCAACATCGTATTTTCTGCTGTGGGTCGAAGGTGTAATAGATAATATTCATAGGAATGGAAATAACAATATAACAATGTAATAGTTAACCAGTTTAACCTTTGTTTGACACACAGACTCCTCAGGTCCCTGTTTAGAAAAACCTCCAAAATATGTTCTTTAGTGAAACAGTCATGGTTCTGTGAAAGAGGGATCAAAGTATCTCCCTCGACAAGTTCTACAAGGATTGACTGGATTTTTGGGTTATTTTGCTGCTGGACTGTGAATAGTGAAGCTCCATATTAACCTTCCTAGTGCTGTTTGAAACCCCTCTGACAGGATTCAACCACATGCATGTCCTTTTGTATAACATGGTGATATGACACACTGAAATAAGATTGAGTCAACAGAGCTGTTTTTAACCTTCCTGATAGCAGGACCATCTGATATATAACAGGGACTATAACAGTAATGTCCTCTCTCTCACACACACACACACACACACACTGAAATAGCTGCCTTATCAATACCAGCTGTTGTTGCTGTGACTGCTCTGGAGCATGTTTAGGGTGCAGCAGGGGTGGATCTGATCTGCGGTTCTTTATTGATTATATTTCTGTACTTTATCAAAGCAGCACATACACACCCACTTGCACAGCCAACAACTGGTTACAGTTCACTGGAGAAAAACCTTTGGAGAACAAGTTTAACAAAGGGTTAAACAAGAAATTTGATTCAAAACAGACATCCGCCTAGAATTCAGGACAGCTTTGTTTCAATAGAAAGGAGGAGGGAGAGATGAGGAAATTTGCAATACAAATGGATGTTTATACGATAAAAGTATTGTCTGTAATTTAACCCTGTACATGTACATCATCAGCTTGACTATGTGGGTTAATGGATGAGGTTTTAGTAGCATATGACAACACTATACACTGTACATATACATACATATACATATTTTCTGTCTGTAAATCAATATCTTACTATCTTGTCAGTTCAAAAAAGAGATGAAGAAACCTTCCACACCACGAGACACAGCAGTGAAATTCTGATGGCATTGTCCCAGTTTCTCACCTCTGAGGTGTCTCTGGAAGAATTGATCAATTAGTAATAAATGAAGTGGACCAAGAACAGACCCATGTGGACTCCTCATAAGATATCAACATGATGTTTGGGAGGGACATAGCATCAAAACAAAACCAGCACTGAGCCATCAGGGCCAATGACCATTTACTCCAATTTTAACGTTGGTAGTTTACATTTAAATGTTGTGATTGATTGTTGAATTAAATAACTAGAAACGTAATTCCCTCCATTGTCACCCTTTACTTCAGAATCATTGATTATTAAAAGGCAGCGTTGTTGATATGAAGGCATGTCGATGTAAAGTTATGCAAATAATCACTAAGTTTGTGTCATTTACCAGGTCAAATAACAAACATTTGCAGTTGTTAGCTTTTCAAATGCTAAGGATTTGCGGGGTTTCTTTCTCTTTGACATAAAAAATCTATTGGTTTTAAAATGTTGTTTGGAGAAGATTTAATGACAAAAACAATTGAGATAAACCGTAATGGCATTCTTGGCATTTACTTAATAATAATAATAATATTTGACCATCCTGAAACTTTTTTGATGACTGATGTCATATGTCTAAGCATTGATCTACTCTGCAAATACATGGTAGTATAATAATAATACAGTAATAGAAGGACTTATTGGAGACTTAGTGTTTATGAGTTCTGTAAATGTGTGTACATCAGGATGAAAATGAAGCTGTGGAGTGAGTCATGCTTATTAAAGTTCAGGCTGTAAAGGCTGCTCTGTGTCTGACAGCACCAGGGGTCGCAGGGTTAAATTGCTGTCATGTAACCCACTGAAACACAGGCTGTGTAGAGACCAGCTCTATGCAAATGAGCTTATTGTTGCACAACATGCTCCCTACTTACTCATAAACTACTGACCCTTACCATGAATGGCAATGACATCTACACAAATACATCCATCGTTCTCTTGAGAGAGCCATGGCTCAGATGGGTGAGCAGATTGTTTCCAGGTTGGTGGTTTGATCCAGCTTGTGTCATGAAGGGCACCATGTGTAAAAACATATCCAAAATCAAATATGCGAGGAGATCTGCCATGTTGACCCCTTCACAGCAGCAGTCCACAAGATAGATTTCTTGTTTAAACTTAAGATGGGATGAATATTTACAGACTGTATTTTGAACTTCAGAGTTGTCATACTTGAGGATACTGAAGGATGACAAATCTTGTTTTTGGTTTTGACACAATATTAGCTGTGAGAGGTTATTTCCTGTTAAGTGATGACTGTACAGGGCTGACTGAGCTCAACGTCTGAATTGTGTAAATAGGAAGTCTTTCACAGGCTGCAATTAAAACTGAACAAACAATGAGTTTTACCATGTCACTTGAAAAAAGATCTATAGCAGCTACATTCAGCTACGCTGCAACAAATTTCAAACAATTATAAATATCAGTCCCCTGAAAACGCCAGATCCCAGAAATAGTCCATGGAAAAAAAAGTTCCTTTATCTTTGTCTGGATCCACCCAAAAATGTAATGGGTCCTGCCCTGACCCGTGCCATGTCCCATTCCACCAAGTCTGAAAATCTGTTTAATAGTTGCAGCATTTTTGCATCTTTCTGGTTCTGTCTGTGTCGTGGCAATTCTGCACTCCCACTCTGACAACGAGGAACGAGACAAAATTCTCTTACAGTATTGTCACAATTTAATGCTCAGAGCATGGTACACAAGACAAATGTTGGCTTGTAATATGCACGCCGATGTGAGGCTGTTCTTTCTCTTTATGCATTTGGCTCGTTCCTCCCCCTCTGATTGAGGTTGTTTCTGAGCCAAAGGTCAGGATCTTTGGGTGACATCAGGGCAACAATGCCTCAGCTTAGGCAATCAGGTCAAGATTCAATCAGTTGCACCGGATTCATGATCAAGGTTACATTGTAAAGATTCAATCACGATCAATCATGTGGGAAATGAACATGAGTACATTCTGCATGATCAACATGTTACATTTCCCTTACAGTCTGTCTCTGTTTTGTTTCAGCTTGTGACTTATTTTCAATTCAAAATCTAATCAGATAATTCTATTGGGAGAAGGTGAAGACTCAAACGCAGCAAAAAGAAGAATCAACGTAATTAATACTAAATAAATGCTAATTTGACCCCATGTCAGTTGGACAGAGGACATCTGCTCACATATTGACTTTCTAAAGTTGTAATATGTCAGTGTTCTATTTACAACATGTTGAGTAAAGTGTATTGCTCCATGCTACTGGATGTGTAAATGACCACGTAGGAACTCTGAGTTGTGTTCTGATAAGGTTTTAGGAAATGAGTAATGGCCATTTTGGGAAGAATGGAATAAGCACGGAAAGTCCAAATATCCTTTAGTTGACACACACACACACACACACACAATAGATTTTCATCAAAGCCGATGTTCCAGTAGACCCTTCCTGGAACACAGCAGGCCTCAACTCTGATGCAGGAGTCAAAAGAGGAGGAACTTTCATAGGAAAATTAACCATCTGATGAATTTATCAGTAATCTCTCCATTACTGAAAATGTCTGCTGTACAACTTCCCATAAATTGCCATGGAGGAAATAAAAGACGCTAAGGCAAATGTGCGTGCTCTTGAGGAATATGGGACACCAGATGGATGCACACACACACACACACACACACACGCATAGCCAGACACACACACATGCACACCCACCCACCCACCCCCAACTCCTTTTAGAAGGATCCTCGTCTCCACGGTGACTAAAGACAAAAAAGAGGCCCTGGCACAGCTGGTCTCCAACAACAGAGAGAGAGAGAGAGAGAAAGAGAGAAAGAGAGAGAGAGAGAGAGAACAGTGAATGAGTGTTCAGATGTACACACAGCACAGAGGGTGAGGGGGAGTGAGAGACGGCGTAAGCAGCAGTGAACAAGTCAATTTTGGTTGGAGGTGGTTGGACAGGGGAGAGGCTGGAAAGAGAGAGGGAGGGTAAAAGAAGAGGGGGAGCAGGAGGAGGTAAAGACAAACTCCCTGAGAACTGGAGTTGGTAGCCAGAGAAAGTGAACACACACACACACAGCAGGAAGAGGAACAGTTGCAGCGCTGCTGATCTGCTGAGAGAGTCAGATTACCTCCAAACATCCCGTCTGTGCAGGCTGAACTGAAGCAGGCTAATTAGATGAAGAGGTTGAGAGCAGCAGACTCGGCCACAAACAACCTCAAGAGAAACTAAGGGGAGTTGTCAAAGGAGGGGGAGGCTGAAAACAAGACGGGCGAGGGGTCTGAGGAGCTTCTACTGGGGGGGACGGTTCTGTGTACAACACACTGGTTCTCCTCTCAGAGAACAGTCAACAAGTGGAGTCTGTGTCACTTTTAAGAGCTTGTACAGCAAAGGTAAGAACTTGCTTTTTCCTTCTCACATGTAAATACACACAACAGTTACCATATGTATACATAAGACCAAGTTATGATTTCTAAAGAACTGAGAGAAAGGACACTACTACCTCTTTTCAACAAGATGATGCAGCATGTAGATTAGGATTGCGTTCTGCTACTTGAGAAACATGATGTGGGAGTGCAGTGGAAGGACAAAGACAAGACTCAGGCATTCCTCAGACCAACTCTGGCAGGTGGCTGAGATTTTCACCATGAGCCAACAGGAATGTATCCCCCCATCAACCAAAAGGTTTTATACTTCTATCTTCCATAGGAGCTGCAGACTGGTGCTGCATGTCTAAACCTAAACACATTCAATTTGCCAACCACAAGAAGGAAATTGAACAAAACTGTGTGGTAGCAGTTTGTCGTGTGTTACATAAACACTTCCTGGAATAATACAAATATTCTTCTCTGTCCTTTACTTTACTGGATGTTGCATTTAGTGTGTTTACAATGCATTCATTGAATTCCATGCAGCACGCACAGCTTGAGATAAGTGTTTTTATACTTTGAGATCCTCAGAGGTTTTTATTCCCCAGTGGCCCGTCTGTACTGTTGCAGTCAGTAGTGTAGTATACTATACTGTAGTATTGCATAGTTTAGAATTATATATTGCAGTATAATACAGTATAGTATAGTATAGTATGTTTGCCTGTGTTTATAGTTCAGATTATTGTATTCTTATCTCGCCCAATCATGGTGTAGTGTGCTCCACAATGTTGTCACCTATAAAGCCCCATGCAGAGCATATAACCCTTGTTAGTCTGCATTAAGAGCAGCAGCACTTGAACAACACTGAAGCTCTCATTCATTCAATCATCATTCCATCATCTTGTCTTTTTCAGGTGCAGCAGTGTGATCGAAGGCCCGTTTCCTTACTGCTCATCTCCTTCCTTGTGTGAGTCAGCATGAGCGTGAAAGAGGAGGTGCTGGATATTCTGCAGAAGTTGTCGACCAAACTTCAGGGTCTCCCACAGGCCAGCGCTCTGGAGCTGGGAGCCTTCTTTGTGCTTGTTCTGTTTGTTGGTGAGTTTCACACTCTCACAACTTTGTTTTAGTATATGGATTATATTCACATTTTATTTATTTTATAGTGGGGTGTTTAGTTTAACTTTTATAGATCACATTTCCGCTATAATGCCTTTGTTATTATGATTTTGTTGACATGCATTTGCTGATCTTTTTGACCACATGGGGGCAGCAAAATATGATCAGTTTTTTTATGACAAACTGTTTGCAAACATTTGGTCATTTACACTTTCAGCAACAATATTATTAATTTAAATTGTGTTTCTGTCAATTTTAAGTCCAATACTCACTCTAATTTTGGCTCCGATTTCATTTCCTGGGATATATAAATTGCATCTTAGTCGTTGAATGTGCTCCTGTACTTGGTAGCCAATTGCTAATTTTGTTTGCCTGTCATTTGGTATTGAAGAGGAAGTGCTCCAAGGTTTTTTTCCTACCCATTAGTAGAAGTAAATAAAAAAAGTAAGAGTTGTGGGCGATAAAACCAAAACAATTAGCTAAAAGATGCTCCACAGAGCTGAGGGGAATTTTTAATTTCGATTCACATTATGAGTAACCCTATTAACTGTACCTGATCATTTGATGCATGTTTCCTATAGTACCGATGAAAGCAGTGGATTTTTTAACTTTATTGAAATGAAAATAAATGTGCAAAACAGCCTACATTTAGTCTTAAGCAGATTTAAGCTTTGAATTTAAATAATTAAGTCTGAAAGTACTACAAAGGCAAAGAGAGAAGAAGACATGAGACAGGGATACACTTATTCTTTACAGCAGTGATATTTAGGACGTACTGACCCCACTCTGTGACTTCTGTGTGCCCCCTGTGTCCTGTCTCTCCTTTAAGCAACATTTCTCTTCATGGTCCTCCTGTCCTGTATCCACTGCTGCTGCTGTGGTAAGCCAAAATACCAGGCCTCCAGAGTTCAGCCTCTACAGCCTGTCTGAAGAGGAGAAAGAACAGACTCCACAAGAACCATCGCCTCCATCCATCATGTAATCATCCACATTATACAAGGATTTTTTTTTTCAATTCATACAGAAGGAAATATAGAAAGAAATCCATGAAAGGAAGGGTGGGGACATGTTTCCATATTTCCAGTTCTGGGGTACAGAGCCATGTCACTGGGACCATACATTTTAATACAGACTCATGGAGATTCATCAACAACGAGGACAATGAAACAGTGTGTGGCAGCTCACTCAACAGACAAAAACCTCACGGTGCAGTGGATAAAAGACACAGTAGGAGAGCAGATGAGTGCGTAAATGTCACATGATTAAATCCAGTGGTTTAATGTCCTGCTCTTATTCATCAGGAATGTGACAAACACATTGGGAAATATGTAGATATTGTACATATAGTGGATATAGTAAAGAGAATTAGATGTATTGTACATTTTTCAAATTGACAATGTGACCTGGTCATTGTTTCACATCCAACACGTGTTGATGGATTCTTATCGTGTTATTACATTGAAGTGTTACATATTTTTTTTACTGAGACAATTTTTACTGGAGCAATGTTGCTTTGTTTCTTCTCTGTAAATGTATTAAATGTTCAATATTTTTTAAATAAAGATTTGTTTCTCTAGGATCAAATGTAAAGCACATTATTATCTGTTGAAGCATTGTTGGATCTCCCAAATACAATTAATCTAAATCTAAATCTAAATCTAAATCTAATATAAAGAAGTAAAGCATGAGGTACTAAATTGTATTGTATTAAGATGGGTACAGAGGTCTTTAGGTGTAGTTCAACAGTTGCATTAAATGCCCTCTCAGCCTTTTATGGAGTTGTCATGACTCAGTATGTTTAAGCTGCCTTTAAAGAACATATAGTCTACCTGCTTCCAGCTTCTATCTATTATTGTGTTAATGCCCTTGCACCAGCTACAGCCATGTGGCCAGAGTCATATATGTTTTAAGGTTTGTCCATACTATATTTATTATCTAGGCTCGTATTAATCAAGTTATTATCATTTAGACACACATGTCTATTCAAAATGTCCGGTGACTGAGTCTGGTGACTGAATGGCTTCAGTGTCGAGTTCCGTTGCCATTTCACAGCCTGTGTCTCCTGCACATTCAGTCTAGTATCGGCTGGGATCTAACCCACTCACAGCTGCTGCAGTCTTGATGACAGGCCTCAGTCCTGAAATGCCAGGCCTGAAATAGTTTGCCTTGTTTATAATTAAACTGAGCATGTGGGACGGTGCCTCCAGTGTGTGGATACAAGACAAGGTATCAGGCCCAGTCTGTTCTCTGTTACACATAACACACTCACATGGTTCATCCACATACATTAAGGAAGGTAATCAGTAGGCTAATCAGGGGCACTGTGTATAAATACAGTATTTTGGATTATGGGTGTATGAAATTATTACTTACATCACGAGTAGTGGAGCGATAGACTTGAGGGGTAATTGCAGGGTGGAAGTAGTGAAGGGTGGAGCTGTAGATGAAAATAACTTTTTCTACCTCCAGAGCAGCTTTACTTGAGACACTGAAGACCTCATTCATTCAACATCATCTTGTCTTTTTCAGGTGCAGCAGTGTGATATATTGAAAGGCCTGTTTCTTTATTTGTTGCTCGTTCCTTCCTTGTGTGAGAGTCAGCATGAGTGTGAGAGAGGAGGTGCTGGATATTCTGCAGAACTTGGCGGACAAACTTCTGGGTCTCCCACAGGCCAGTGCTCTGGAGCAGGGAGCCTTCTTTGTGCTCATCCTGTTTGTTGGTGAGTTGAAGATACAGATCTGAAATTTCCCTTTATTTGTATATCTTTAATCAACAGACCAAATAATGTAGATGAGCCAGAGTTAGTATAAGCTAATATAGCCAGTTTTCTCAAGGCAACTTGTAATAGAATAATTTAATATAAATGAAAATATCAATGGCTAATTCCTGTGCATTATACATACAATCCAAACTAACTGCACAATGCAACACAAAGACACAGATATGCATGTGATCTAAATTACATAAAGTGAAATAATAACATATGATTACAAGCTTGGTTTACTTTGACACATGTCTTAATTTTGTTAAATTGTTTCTTAAAGTTACCGTGTCCCCGCGCTTGGGGGGGTAATATTATTGTTGCATCATAATGTTTTTGTATTATTTTCATACTTATTTTTTTTATTCATTAAGGTTTATAATGTTTGTTGTTATGATTATAATAATCTTTTGGACTTACATGGAGGCAGCAACATAATAAATTACATTTTAGCAAACATTTGTGTATTTTCACATCCAACATAAACAACGCAGCAATTTTATAAATTTTCTGGCCAGCTGATGAATCCAGAGTCCAATATTTACTCCTTAACTCTCAAATCTTGAGACAAATTAGCAGCGTTACATTTGCTAATGGAGCTATTTACTCAGTAGCTTATTGTGAATTTTGATAACTCAGTATTTAGCATTTGGCATTTTTGCTAAAACAGCAACCTGAGGAAGCAAAGGGAGAAGTAGAGTGAAGAGTAAACCAAACTGTAAAGCTGTGGACCACAAAACCAAAACAATCAGCTAAAAGATGCCATAATATGTGTAAAATAAAGATTTGTGCAGCTTTAAGTTTGATATAAATCTTTCCTCCTAGCACACACTAACCCCCTCCCTCTGTCCTCCCTTCTTTCAGTCATGTTACTCTTCATGATCGGGCTGTCCTGTAGCCACTGCTGCATCAGTGGGAGGCCTAAATACCAGGCCTCCAGAGTTGAGCCTCTACAGCCCGAATGAGGAGGAGACAGACTCCATCCTCCATGTAATCATTCCCGATACAAGGCCTTTACTTCAACTCACAAAAAAAGGAAATGTTTCTCTTCACTGTCAAGGATTTCTTGGAGGGGATGAAAGGGATTCCATCAAGAGACGAATTTGGCCATATTCCCATGATATTCCCAGTCCTGGCATGAAGAGTCATGTCACTGGTACCACCTAGATCAACACAGTGGGACGACTCATCAAGACTCATCAAAGACGGGGACAATGAATCAGCGAGTGAGCTCTTTCCAACAAAAACCTCACGGTGCAATGGATGAGAGATACAGTAGGAGAGCTGATATGTGCTCGATGACACACTGACCCTGTTGTGATCAATTCAGTGGTGTGACATCCTTCTGATATTCAGCAGGAATGTGATAAACAACATGGAAAATATACAGACATTCAAACCTGTGTATGTACAGTGGATGTGGATTTCCCTTGGTAGTTTCAATGTTTTCACAAGAAACACGCTGGTGTAGAAAATAAGATCGCCCTCTGCTGGTCCAGTGAAATAAAACATTTTTTTGTACATTTTCTTAATGGAAATGA